CGTGACGATTAGTTTGCCGACCAATCAAAATAGTCCACGTGCTATAATTTTGGTTGACCGACACGTAACGTTATTACACGTATCATTTTCTGGGTAAATTATATTTGATTTTTTTTTTATTTCTTAGGCGACGACGATGTTGGCGTGGGCTTCTGTGATTGGCTGGCTGTGTACACGTCAGCTATATTGAAGGCGTGGATAAGGTTTGGCCACCGCCTTGCATATGGATGGCCTACTAAAAGCTCTTAATTTTTTTTAAAAAATTTTAATTTTGTTTCACCGATTACCCCAATAATTAATTTTTTTTTTTTGTGTTTTTAAGAGTGGAAAAAGAATTACATTAGAAGTCCTGATATAAAATTATAACAGGACGTCAATCACAATGCGCCACGTGTACGGTCTGATTCCGTTTATATATATTAAAATATTTAGTTTTTTATCTTCAGTGCGGTCAGACCGTACACGTGACACGCGTTGTGAATGAAGTCGTGATGCAGTTTTGCATTGGAACTCCTGATGTAATATTTTTCTCTTTAAGAGGGCATATGCTTGAAGAAATTTGACTGTATTTGTAAGTATTTAGTTTTTTATCTTCAGTGCGGTCAGACCGTACACGTGACACGCGTTGTGAATGAAGTCGTGATGCAGTTTTGCATTAGAACTCCTGATGTAATATTTTTCTCTTTAATATGACATATGCATGAAAAAATTTGACTGTATTTGTAAGAAAAAAAAAAAAAAAAACTTTAGTTCTTACTTTTCATGGTCTTAAAACTTATGATATTCTTAATAGTGTAGGAATTTCTACTAATGCTTTAGGCGCTTTATGTTATTATCAAATTAAGACCCATTGCCACCAATTTTTGGAAAAACTTTTTTTTTTTTTCTCATTATAATCTTAATAAATGTATTCATAGTGGTTATTACTTTATTCTTCATAATAATGATGTTTAGTTTTGTTGAGTTTTATGTTTGTTGGGGGTTTCTTTAGATTGAAGTTTATTTGATCCTGGTTGAGACTTGCTATGTTTGTTGAAAGATTTTATTATTCTTATTCTTCATGGAGTTGATGTTGATTTTTTGTGCTAGTGTTGGGCTCAATTATGGCTTATTTTAGACAGATGTTGTTTTTCAGAGTTTTTTTGTGTCTAATTAAGACTTAATAAGCTTGTTGATATATTTTTGTTAGGTGTTTTTGTAAGACATTCATTATTCCTCCTCTCAAAGTTGGTTCATTTATTAGCTTCTTTGATGTTTTGGGTTTGGTGCTTTGTTCATTTGAGTTATTAGTTTTATTGTAATGAGTTGTTTGTGTCTTTTGTGCTGCTTTGTAACATTTGTTTCTTTTAATTAAAGCTAGGAAAGATCATCACTTTCACTAATAAAATAATAATAATAATAAATGATCCAACTATTTGCTTATATTGAGCTATATTTACTTGTTAGGGCAACGAAAAAAATATGTTGTGCTTTGGCTCCATAATTAATTAGTATTTGACCGGTATTTCTTATCAAGCTAAATACAAGCAAAGCCATGTTCGACTAAAACATAACTTGTTCATACTTTTATATTGAGTTTAAATTAATATCTATATTTTGTATTCTTGTTTATATTTATTTGGTTATACACACACATGGACACTTATATATTTATATATCATTGCAATTCTCCATCTCGAACTTTGGTAGGGATCGAGAGGTTTCTGGGGTAGTCGACTTCTCCACCTTCTTCACTGAGTCGACTGTCTGCCCCAGATTTCAGTCGATGACGTTGGAGCTCCATTCAAATTTAATTGGATCTCATCGTCTATTATGCCTAAGTCAATGAATAAATCATTAATGGGCATTAAAAAATATATTCCAACCAAGAAAAAAAA